GCGTCCGTGTAACCAGGTGCTTGTTCCTGTTAACGACAGCTGAACCCAAGCACCTGGACACCTTCTCGTAATAGTTAAATTTTCCAATAAAAATGCCATGTAGATATCCCAAGCATGGACTGTCTGAAATTACGTGGTTCTAGAAAAAGCTTGGGAAGGCCTTAAAAAAAAATCAGTGCTATTCATTGGGTAAAATATTAAAGATGGTAGTTGATGTCTTTTGTTCTTTCTAGATATACATGACAGTAGGTGTATTTTGACATATCATAGTACATGGAGTATACATTCCCATTCTTGTGGTTGTGCGCGATGTGGAGTTTCACTGGCCATGTATTCATACTTGACCACAGGAAAGTTAGGTCCAATTCCTCCTACTGTCTTTCCTATCCCATCCCCCGCTTCCCTTCATTCCCCTTTGTCCAATCCAATGAACTTCTATTCTTCCTCCCCTTCCCCTTTTGGTGTGTGAGCATCTGCATATCAGAACATTCAGCCTTTGTCTGTTGAGAATTGACTTCTTTCACTTAGCGTGACAGTCTCCATTTCCAGCCATTTATCAGAAAATGCCATAATTTGATTTGTTTTTATGGCTGGGTAATATTCCATGGTGTATATATGGCACATTTTCTTTATCCATTCATCTGTTGAAGGGCTCCTAGGTTGGTTTCACACCTGATCTACTATGTTTTTGTATCAATGTTTTGGATTCAATATCTTTGCTGTAGGAATGTTCTGATTTACAATTTCTTCTTGTAGGATCTGCTAAACTGCATTTTTCTGGAAGTGTAACCATTTCATCTAAATTTTATATATGTTGGTTTTGTGTCTCATTAATCTTCTGTGTTCCAGCCTTTTCTCTTTATTTACTGATATTTAATTTGCTTATTTTTCTACTTCAGACCAATGCTTAGAGCAATATTTTTTTCCTAAAAATACATATATTCCACATTTTTCTTTGCAATTTTAGCCTCCATCCACATGTATTACACTTATTATAATTCATTTTGAAACCTGGTAATTTCAAAGGCTCATTTAGAAGCTTATTACATAATTTCCAAGCCAGGGAGTCTTCCAGCTATCTTTTTATTGCATTATCCAGCTTGTGCATAATGTGTTCAAATGATATAAAGTGTGTGTTTTCCGTTCAATGTGTTGAACGGAATGTGTTGAGGTGTCCACCATTCCATCTTCTCCAAAGCCCCGTTCCTGGGGGGCCTGGAAAGCACGTGAATTGGGAATCGGCGCGATGGTTCTTGTGTGTTTCCTTATTATGGCATCTCGCACCCTTTCTGATTGCTTTCATCTATCTCTTCCTTCACTGTGGAAAGAAGTTTGCTGAAAGCCTACTAATGTGATGTTGGTGGGCCAGTTCCTTCTTCTAGCTCTGCACGTGTGTGCTGTGTATGTTTTGAGACTGTGTCCTGTGCTGCAGGTGGAGGCTGATTTCTGTGTGCTCCTGCGGGATGAAGCCCCAGCGTTATAACACGCCACTCTGCTCCCAGGTCACAGCTTCCGTGCCGAGGGCTCTTTCCATAATATGAACAAGGGGCTTTTGTGTTCATGTTTGCATGGGGTAAATTTGCCCATCCCTTTTGTCCAAAACATCTCTATTGTACAGCTTTAATGTGTCTCTATAAACACTGCTCTTTGTACTTGTTTTCCAGAATGAGGAGCTTTGCTTTGTTTATTTTGGTGGATACGTTAGTGTGCTGGTACTTAATGTGATTTATCATCAGCTGGTTTTTAAATTCATTGACCCTTTGCATTGTCTGTTCTGCATGTAGTTTCTCTCTCTCTCCCACCCTCTTCTTTTCTTCTTCTGGTTTTATTGAACTTACTTTATTTCATTTTCCCTCCCTGAGATATTGAAACTCTTTTATTATTATTTTAAGGTTCTCCATAGAGATTACACTACATCTTCTTAAATTTCAAAAACCTATTTTATTTTATTTTTAAAACTTGGTATCCTTTATCTTATTTAACTTCCTTAATTTGTATGTTTTTTATTTGTATTTAAAGTTTGTAATATTTTAAACCTCACAGTAAATTATTATGACTGCTCTACTCATAAAATATTCATACGAATTTACTATGTATTTGCCATCTTCCTACCAATTCTGTACCTGCTTCTGTGTTACCACCTGGAATGGTGGATTTTCAGCCCGGGGGTCACCCGTGGGCACCACCTTCAATACTCACCTTCATCCATGATGATGTTTTTGCTGGAGGTTTGGTTCTGGATGAGTTTCCTTTAACTGGACCTCCAGTAAGTCCACCCCAAGGTGCTCCTCCTCCTCTGTCTCCACTGATAATGAACTGCTCCTTTTCCCTCTAGTTGCTTAAAAACATTCATTTCTCATTCCTTTTGTAAAAGTGTGTATTTATTTGCTTGTTCTGGATCTTCCTTCTCTCATCTTCACATTTAGATTTTTACTCTGTATCTCATCTGATATTAAATCCAACTCATATTTTTCTTTTCAATATTTGTTTTTCAGACTCAGATATGCCACTTGGTTCTGTTTTATACTTTTATTATTTTTTTCCACCCAAAGTGTTCAGTCTTGTCTTTACACTGCTAAACATGTTAAGTGTGTTTACTCTAAATTCTGAGTCAGACAACTCTATTATCTCAATCCCCTGGGTCTGTTTCTATTGTCTGTCACTTTTTAAAATGTGTTATTTTCTCCTTATCTGCATGGTTGCTTATGATTGAGTGTTGGAAATTGATAGTAAATAATCCAGAAATAATTTGATCACTAAGAAAATGTCATCTTTCAAGGATTATTTACAACTGCTCTGGCAGGTGCCTGGGGGCATCAGTTATCTGAGATTCAAAAAATTCAATTCTAGAAACTGTGGTTATTCACACCTGAGTTTCCGTTTGTGTAAAGCTGACCATTTTCAGGCTGTCCGTTACCCAAGGCCCAGCTCTTCAGGTGCCCGCTTTGGTATATGGAGGACTTACCAATGATCCTGCCTCCTGCAGATCAGGCCTGGGACGTCAGCTTCTGTTCTCCTGACACACAAGGATGCGCAGAGCGCTAGTTAAGCTCTTAATCTCCAAGAGATGCACCTGGAGAGAGGAAAGGAAGAGACGCGGAGCGCATCTCTCTCGCCTCCTTCTTCAACTTATCTTACTTCATCAATGGCCTCAAGCAAAAAAGAGATTCCAGATTTCCTAGTTGTTTTCTGTGAGGTTAACTTTCTCAATCATCTGGTCTGTTATTATTAAGGCTTTTCATTTAGTTGGCATGTTTAACCAACAAGGGATCTCAGGGATCTGCTAGTTAATAGACATCATTGAAACATCCAAGTTCACCCTTTCCTCTCATAGACACAGGAGAGCTTTTATATTTTCAATCTCTTCCTTCTCTAATCCCCTCCCTATATTTCACTTTGTAAAACACCTTTGACATCTAAACACTGCAAGTTTCTTTTCTAAATAGCTATGCATCTGAGTCTAGGCTTTTCTTACTCAATAAGAAAATCCTTTATTTACTCTGTTGACTTTGGTACAGGACCAAGCCTGGTTGCAGATGTGTACATTAGAAAAAAGAGCATCGCAAACCCCACACTGACTAATAGGATACGGATTTCAAAAACTAGAATCCTAAATTAATTGTGTCTCTCTGTGTAAGGCACATTCTCATTTAGTTTACCCCTGAGTTTCCTCTGTAAAACAAAGCCAAACATATAGATGGCAGAGAAGGCTGGCTCTGGGTGGCTTGAGCTCCTTGCTGACAGATGTTAAATCATCGTGGGTTTGTATGAATTCATAATGAGCAGTGGGGACAGTCCCTCAGCACTTCTTTGCTAATCATCTGTCACAGCAACATGAAGACCGAGAGCACACACGGGTGCAGGCTCCCGCTGCGGCATTTCAGGTGGATGTGCTGGTGTGCCATTAGCTGGGATCTCCCTGGGGGTCTTCATCTTCCCAGCAGTGACCAGGGGCAATATGCTTGTGATGAAGACTGCTGGGCACCCTGTGGTCAGAGCACCTGCTCCAAAGAGAATGAATTTGTCTCGGGATAACTGCCTTCCTGGTGTACTGACGTCATTAATGTTTCACTACATCTGTGGCTTGGGCAGATCTAGATCTCTGAGTCATCTGCTTCTCTCTCTCTCTCTCTCTCTCTCTCTCTCTCTCTCTCTCTCACATTTTTTAAAAATTCTGCCATATTTTTCTGTAATGATCTACCTCCATGTCAACATGACTCTTTTCTCTGCATGTCCCCTTTTTCTTGGGGTCTTTAGATACCTTTCATTCAGCCACATAAAGAAAGTCCCAGTGAACTCCCGAGGATCCCTGTATTTGCCATTATTGGTCATTCACCTACTTGGTTTTGGAAATTTCAACTGTATTGGGAGCCTGTGGAGGACGGTCTGTGAGTCTCTTTGGCAATCAGTTCCCAACTCTCTTCCCAGGCCCAGACACAGTGTGGGCTTTAATATGACTGAAATAAACCAGTCAGTGAGTCTCTGAGTGTGCGGTGACTTGCAGTTGCAGAAGTCTAAGTCCTTTCCATAGGGGAGCAAACAGAAGGGCACACTGTGCATGTGTGTCCCTAAGTCTGCTGGCTCTGTGGGCACTGCCTTTGCACCCCACCACCTTCTCCTCATGCCCCACCCCTATTCAAGCACCTATTCCAACACAATCTGAACACACAGCTTGGTGATCAGTTTATTCTCCTTAGCCTTTTACCTTTTTATTTCAAAATGGCCTTTCTTAAAGTTTACTTTTAACTGATGCATTAAATCCATAAAAATTGTCATCTTAATGGGGGTAATAACATGACTTTTTCTTTTCTTGTTTGTACTCATGCAATTCTACCTATGATGATTTATGTGGCAACAAGTGGTTATGCAAAACACTGCTCCTTGGTAGAAATCATGTTTAAAGTGAGGAAGAGAAAATTTTTACTTTTCTGGAAGACAGAATGATTCACTGCATTGGTCAGCTTTTCCTTGCTGTGGCAAAATGCCTGAGAAAAACAACATAAAGGAAGAAAGATTTATTTGGCTCACAGTTTCAGAGGTTCCAGTCCATGGTCACTGGGATCTGTTGTTTCTGGAACCGAGGGAAAGCCAGAACATCATGGTGGAGAGGGTGTCCTGGTGTAGCAAAGCTGCTTGGCTCCTGGCAGCCAGGAAGCAGAGAGAGGGCGGGGTGGGGGTCTCCTTATTTTTCCCAGGCATGCCCCTGATGACCTACTTCCTCCAACTGGACCCCACCTTCTAAAGGTTCCACCACCCCCCAGTAGTCCCATCAGCTGGAGAACCAAGTCTTCACCACACAAGCTTCTGGGGGCCATTTGAGATCCAACTCACTTTTGTATTTGGACAATTTGGTGAGGGTCTGTTGCCCACCGGTGACAAATCCAACTTTGATGCAGCCTTCACAGCAGTGCTGGTCACCTCTGCTCGTCTTAGGACCTGTCACAGCTCTCTCCTTGCAGTAGACCCCTGGGGTCCTGCCTGAGCAGGAGGATCTCCTTACCTCAACCTGTGCTCATTTCCCCTCTTCCTTGGAAACACTTTCTCCCCATCCCACCTGAAACACCTGGAAAACCTTTCAAATTCATTCAGCTGTGACCGCAGAGGCCAGGGGACCTCAGGCTGACCTCTGGACCTCAGGCTGAACCCTGTGAGGTGGGTGCCGTTGGACCTTCCTGACCTTCATGAGCGTAGTCGCATTTGGTTCACGCCGTGACATAGTTCCACGAACTTGTCACACAGAGTTGGACTCAACTCTTCAAATGCCCATCCCCCAGCTCTCTGGCTCAGAACTGGGACGTGGTGGGCACTTGTGTCTTATGTCCCAGGCCCCTCTTCTCTTTTCCACTCCGATTCTTCCTTTCCTCGTTGGTCTTTCACACAACCCCGAGATGGTACTGGATGCTTCAGGACTTGCAGAGGATGGTTCTGGGGCCAGGATCCTGCTTCTCATCTGGAGGTCCTGGCGGAGGACCTTGTTCACCTGTGGCACCCGCCATCCCACGCTCTCCAGATTGGGAAGTGGCTCTTGGTGGGTGGCAGGTGACAGCAAGAGGATTTCTTCCTGTGTGTGCACTGAGCTTTCAGAAGAAAAATTCTGTCAAGCGACGGTGACACTCCCCATTCTGTTCTGCCCTGTCTTTCAATTACTGAGTGATTCTCACCTGGAGATCTAGAGAGGACCTGAAGTCACTGCTTCCTCATGAGCGCTCTCTACTGTGATATCTTCTGCCCCCATGTTGCAGGAGCTCCAGGAACATCCCGAGTGACCAATCCGTTAGACTTCAGCTTGGCTCTGGAACCTGCTGGACAACTGTGAAGGTGCATAGCCTCTGGGAGAGTCCCCAGGAGAGTCCCGGCCCCCAGTCCAGGTGCAGCCCCCCACGGGGGAAAGAGCGCTAGCACATCCCATGACTGTGTTTCGGAAGTCGGTGTTAGGAGAAGACGAGCCCAGGCCGTGGCCACCACTGCTTCTGTCCTCTCCTCCTCCTAGATGACCCCCATCTCTCCCAGCACCGCCCTTCTTCCCTGCAGCTTCCTGCCCCTGCATTTGGTTTTGTGACGTGACTACCACCATCATTATGCTTCGAGCTTTTCTATGTGATTATGTCATCTATTGTGTCGTCAGCTTTGTGTCACTGTGACCAAAACACCTGACAAGAACTACTTAGAGGAGGGAAGTTTATTTGGCTCATGTTTTCAGAAGCCTCGGTGCCAGACAGTCAATGCCATAGCTCTGGGCCTGCGGTCGGGGAGGGGGCCAGGGCAGAGGGGTGTGGAGGAGGAAGGCAGCTCAGGTCGGGAGCAGGGAGCAGAGAGAGAACGAGCTCTTCTCATCAGGGACAAAACAGAAACCTCAAAGACACCACCCCAGTGACCTGCTTCCCTAATCCCACCCTCCCTGCCCAAAGCTACCAACTAGTTAGTCCAAATCAGTGGATTAATTCATTGATTAGGTGATAGTTCTTATAATACAATCATTTGACCTCTGAACATTCTTGCATTGTCCCAGATGAACTTTTGGGGGACACCTCATCTCTAAACCATCATCTACCTGTCTGCCTACGTACCTACCCCATCAACCACATAACAACTCTGGCCTCTCCTTCAGAAAACCTGGCTTTTGCCTCTGGCTCTGACACTTTAGATGGGCTCTCCACCTCTCTGGCCTCAGCTCACGGTTCCTTATGTGGTGAAGTAGTCGGCATCTGTGGTTCCTTTCTGCTCTCGGTGCACACAGCCTCATGCCACCATCTGGCCAGGTCTCTCTGCATGCATATGGAGCCACAGTGTGCTCTTCCCATGAGTAACGGGCAGAAGGGGAGGTGACATGTGGGCAAGAGTGTCACAGTTCCCACTGCACCACGTGAGACCCGTCGGCTGAGCAGCACTGGCTTCCCAGGAAGCAGAGACCATGTGCAGAGCCATGCTACGTTGCTGCAGAAGGGAAACCGGTCTCTGCTAGGAAACAAGCATTTTGGAGGCAGAAGTTTTTTACTCTGCCATCACATTTCTTTTGCTCAATGCCTGAAACTATCAGAAAGGTTTTGAAAAATGATAGGAGAACAGACAGGATTTTTGCATCCTTGGCAGAGGAAACCTAGTGTCTGGGGCTGTCAGCAGGATGGCCCTATAGCTCCACATGCAGACAAGGGGGTTAGAGACCCCAAGTAGTAGAGGGTCGCCCTACCATGTGGAGGCAGAGGCCTGACACTTCCTGCAGACAACATGACATTGCATCTGATGGAGCCACTTTACATGTTCACACGGTGACCCTGCAACCTGATGTTCTGGGAATTCTCAGCTTAGTGACGGTGGTTTGCTTCCCAGGAGCTTCCCAGAAGCACCCCAAGCCTACTCTGTGCACCCAAATAGGACAAAGAGACTCAGGGAGGAGCCTATTTGGCAATTTTACCTGGAGCTGGCTGTGGTCCTGCAATTTGGTTGTGTAACCTGACGGATGTAGAGGTCCCCATAGGGAAGATAGCTTGGTACAGTGGGACCCCACTGAGCAAAGGATGTGAGGAAATGGTCTTAAATTGGGGTGAGGGCAGTGACTATCTACAGCTTCTAACAATGCAGGGTTTTTAATGGCCAAGATTGGACCATCATGGAGTCTACTATCCTTCTCCTCAGTGATTCTCTTTTTAAGGAAGGTAGCTTCTAGAAGAGAATTGCAGGTTCAATTTACTGTTCCAAAAATGGGAATAAATTTTGAATATGTCTATACAGCGTCAACAGTGATTTCATTACTGTACTCTACATTCTGCCCACTCACAGCTCAGGATGAATATAATTTTGGATCATTGTAAGTGTTTATAATGATTTAAATATTGAAGTATATTGAATTATGTAGAAGCCATCTCATTCAAGAGATTGAATGAATTCTGCACTTTGGTCCCCACAGAGGGGAAGAAGCTCCCCCTGGATGTAACCTCTGGTCTTAGCGTAGTCCCATGGAAGCTGCCCCACGTGTTGTCGAGGGACACCAGTCCTAAGAGCAGGACCACCTCACCCTGGATCTGGCCCAAAGCAACACCAGCAAAGTCCCTGCCACAGTTATGCCCTTGAGCACACACTAGTTGGCAGCTGTGTTGTGGCACGGAGGGGGACAACTGGCCAATGCCTGTGTGTGACGATGGTGGTGAGTGGGGCAGGGAGACAAGGTCAGCCAGAGGCCTAGGCATGTCTTAGTGAGGTGCCCTCAGCCAGGACATTCTCCACAACACCTACCTGCAAAGAAGCCTGCAAGACACTGAGGCTAGTGGTAATTGAATTGTATGCCATGTTTCCAATGTTTGAGTTACAAAGACAGGTAGCAGTGGCCAGAGAGTGCCAATGCTCATTACACGCCACAGAGCAATTGGCCCAAGACTATGAACCAAATTGTTCAGGGTTCCCAAGATCGGTTTCAAAAATAACTTTTCAAAACCGGTTTGGAAGGGTGCAGGCCAAGTTGCTGAATGGCCTGGGTGTGGCACGAACTCCAGAGCATCCCCTGCACAGATGCCCAAAACTTACTATGATGCTGGTGCTCAGTCAGGTTCATGGTGCAAGCAGACATGTGCATTCCACCACCTATTAGGGACTGCCCATCAAAGACAACACACCCTTGACTTACGTTCTGCTACATCTCGCTCTGCTTTGGCAAATGGCTACTCAGGAAACCTTACCCAAGCGGGATCTCTCCTGAGCCACCTGCACAAGGACCAAGTGTCAGCCAAGACAGTGGGCAATGACCAAGATGCACTCACATCACTCATCAAGATGTCCTCCACACAGACTAAGTGCTGGACCAAAGGCACAGATGGGGCAGCCGCACATGCCACAAGGTGGTGCCATCCCTGGTCCTGTGGCAGGAGCCAGAGCTGGGTGGCACAGCTGCACAGGAAGCCTCTCTTCCAGCCAATTGCTCATGGATTCCAGGCCATGTCAGGTGCTGTAGTCTCTGGGAAAGCTGCTGGATTAGACACCCCTGGGAGGAGAGGGTGGAGGACGGGCTGTGAGCAGTCACCTTCTTCCCAACATTTATTCTGAGGATCAGGATGGGTGCCCCTACACTGCCTTGCATCCCAAGAGATCCTCCGTTCTATAGAATAGTGTCAATTGTTTTAGGAAATGATATTTTGCCAGTACACAGGCAAGACTGGCCCACGGAACACGGGTGAATCCACCCAAATCTGGCACATTCTCTTGGAAACTGACCCAAAGCATGCACTTATGAAGGCGTGGATGGCTTCATCTCTGTTTTAGTTGGTTTTATCATTACTGAGACCAAAAAAACCAAGAGACCTGACAAAAACATAGGGGAGGAAAACCAAAACCTTACAAGAACATAGAGGAAGAAAAGCTTATTTTGGCTCAAGGTTTCAGAGGTCTCAGTCCATAGACGACCAACTCCTTAGCTCTGGGCCTGAGAAGAATGGCAGAAGGTTAAAAACACGGGTAGAAAGTAGCTCAGACAATGGAAACCACAGAGCAGGGTTATCATTGTTACCCAAGGCCTGGCCCTGTGGACTGCTGACACAGCTTGACAGTGGCTTCTTGCTCCTAGGCAGTGAGGGGCATGGGGCTCAGCAGGCCTCCCGGGTGCCTTCCAAATGCCAAGCTACCCACTCTCAGGTCTGGGGACTACAGGGGTTTCCCTTTCCTCTCTGCCCGCATCAAGGGTATCACACCGGGCGCAGCTCCCAGCAGCTCTGGCTTGTGCTCTGCGCCTGGCTCAGCCTGGAGCCGGCCCTGGACGCCCCGCGCGGGCGCCTGTTCCACCAGCAGAGGGAGCGCGCGGCGGTTTGGCTGCGGTCCTGGCCCTGCGCGTCCGCCCCGGCGGAGGCGTCTGCCAGCCATTTACCGTCAGGACTGGCTTCTGCTCGTGCCAATCAGCGCCGTGCGGTGGGCACGCTCCATGGACCCCGGTCAGCGCGCGGACCGTTCCTAATGAGAACCGCTAATTAGCGTGCTGAGCGCGGGACCGCCGTCCTACCCGCTCGGACTTCGCAGGGATTCCGCCCGCGCCACAGCTGCGGTCCCCACCGCCCACCGCCCACCGCCCAAGGCCGCGTCCTGCCGGCGCGCCCATGCCTGCCCACAGCATCTCACCGCTTTAAAGCTCCAAGCCTTCTGCTCCTGGCGGCCTCCTGCCGGGCATTGCTAACTCCAGAGGCCTGAGGGTCCAGATGGAAGCTTTGGTGGGGCCGCCCAGGGCCATCAGTCACCCAGCCCCAGCTCCCAGAGCGCCTGCTGCCCCGCCCCCTGTGCCCCTGGTAATTGGATAAGGATGAATTCTCGGTTTGTCCCTGTTCCTAGGAGTCACTATTCTACCAAAAGGAAACTGGCTTGGTAACATCAGAGACATATTAGGGACATTTGGGTTTCTGATTTCCTAAGATACAGTGAACGTTTCAGAAAGACTTTTAGAGTTTATGTCTGACAAACTGCAGCAACAAACCGACATTCTGAGAAGTTTCCAAGGATTTTTTTTTTCAATTTCTTGTTCTTTTTTTTTTTTTTACTTCAGATAATTCCTCAGTCCCATGACATTTGCTTTTAACTGTGATTCATGAAGTAATAAAGAAATCTTTTATTCAAGAAGCCACTTATCCTGCTAAAAATTCCTTCTTTATGAGCTTGCTCATTATGAGCCTGTAGGGTCATCCATTTCTTAAGAATCAGGTTCCTGGTGCCTGGGGAGAGAGATGGGAGAAACATAAATAGCAGAGTAGGCAGATTGGTGATTTTTCAGAAACTCAGGAGGGAGTGTGTCCAACTTCTCAGTTATCCTGGGGAATATTCTGAAGTCTGAAGTCTCAGAATAACTCAGCCACTGGACATGGTATCTCTTCATGAGATGTTGTTTACAGGTAATTTCCTCGGGTAGGTTCTTTGTGAGGCATTGGCTTTGGAGCATCTCCAACAAACCATGTTGGACAAATGTCTGCAAATTGCACTCACCAGAGGCCTTCCTCCTAGGTGACCACAGCCTATGCCTTCCTCCTGGGGAATCACCAAAGCACATGCTCTCCTGTGGATGCTCCTCAAAGGCCTTGTGACCTCCCCAGATGTGACATGAGTGTGACAAGGCACGGCTCAGCATGCATTCACGTCTGCGCTCCACCCATCCAGCCCGTGCTCTTTGTAAACCCGTAGCTTTCCTTTTATTCCGCTGACACTCTACGCTGCACAATGCTCCCAGTTGATTCATATCAACCCACAGACTGAAGGGGATGGTAGCACTGAGAGCGACATCAGCAAGCAGGGTTGAGGTGGCTGCTGAGTCACAGAAGAATGCCCACGTGCCATCATCTGCCTCACTCACACGCAGAGGTGGTGCACATCTGCTAGGAAGCCATTTAGCAATTCAAGGAGTCAGCATTCTCTGTCTAGAAATTTAGGGTACATTATACTTTATTCTTCCCATTTCCAACTGAGCATAGGAAATGGAAATGAGACCTTTGACTAATGTTTCCATCACTGCTCCTACTCACGGCAGATCCCAGGCACTTCTTACAATACTAATGGATCCTTTACATTTATTAGGCCCTGAGTTTAAAAAGCTGTATGTTTCCAGCAATGCCAACCAGGAAGTCATTGGCACAGCAATGACTTCTACCACCTTCTTGCGGGTGGTAGAACCTCTCCCTTCCACCTGGAGATGCTAGGTTAGGGTCAGCACCTGGTCCTCCTGCTCAATGATCTCTGACTACCAGGAGATAGAAACAGCACAGAGGGGCCCTGAGCAGGTGACAAGAACACCCTTCTAGCTCCACATGTGGGCAAAGGACACAGGTTCCTTAATGGAGTGATCTAATGGGGAATAAAAACCTATGGTATATGAGAATTCCAAATAAAACATGACAGATATTTCCATGTCTCTGTTGGCAACTGAATGTCAGATGAATGAGAAAATATGGCCAGCCAAGCAAGTCCTTGTTCCCAGGAAGTACAGGTCCACTTAACCGGAACACAAGGAAAGGAAAGCAAAGGGGGAGTTCACACGTTTTAATCCACTTTTTAAAGTCTAGAGTAATTGAGGGTCAAAAGTTATTTTTGAATGTGTAGATGAAGAAATAATAAACCAGGAATTAATGAAGAAAGTTTGGGGCAATGAGTGGGAAATTGTCTTAACTTGTCTCAGGAGCATGACTTATCTCAAGAGCTTCTTTGGGACAGGGACTTGGGGGGAGCCCAGGTGGAAAGGCAGTCAGGGGAGGCTCGGCAGCTGGCACAGATGGCTGGCATGGATTTGAAGGGGTCCATCACAGATGAACCAATTAAGGTGGCACAGTAAACTGGCACTTTCTAAACTTGGGCCCATGGGTCATATCCCACGGACTATAACAATATCCTGCTGTTATCACACCGAGAATAAAGATATGGCAACTATGTGGGTAAATATAATTAAAAACTTTACACGGGTACAGTGAACCTCCAACAAGAAAATAAAGGAGAAGGTAGAAAAGGTATCTGATTTTCAGAACTCCATTTTGGCTAGGAGTCCTGAAGGATTCAGGAAGTGCTGTCAGACGTTGTCAAGGTCGTGTCTGGGCCCCGGGTTTGGGCAGAGGCTTGTCTGGGAGCCATTCAGAGGTGAAAGAGGATCACAGAATGTTCCAGGAGACAGAAGGAGAGAAGGGTCCAGCTGTTCTCAGCCTGTCCAGAGGCTCGAGAGGGCCCTGCTGGGCCACTGCTGGGCCCTGCTCGTGTTCCTGGACACCTCTCCCTCCAGGTCACTCCACTGCCCTCCTCCTGGAACACTCTCGACAGCCTCCTGGGAGTGTTCTTGGTCACAGATGAGCACACAAGGCTGACCAGAGCCTAGCTGGCAGCTCGTCGGTGTCCCAGGATTCAGCGGCCAGCTAAGGAAGAGTGGCCCACGGACCTGAAGAAGGTCTGTGTCTCCCAGAGCCCTGGGGGCTCAGTTGCCCAAGTGGAAGACCGCTGAGCCCCACAAGCCACCTCAGCTCTCTCCTTCCTTCCCGTCCTCCTCCACGCAGGAGCTTCGGGATCACCTCCCAGATTGACCACTTGTATCCCAATCCTGATCTCAAGGTCTGCTTCCGGGGAACCCAACGTCAGACAGGTATGTAAACGGAACAGGAAGGAACGCATCCCACTTGCAGTAATTCATAGCCACCTCATTCTTCTACCTGCTGGCCTGTCCACCCACCCATCATCCATGTCAACCAGTCATGGGTCACTCTGGTCTGTCATCTAGCTGTCTATCAAGATAGAGGGTAAAAGCAAATGTGCACCCTGTGAACTGTGGTCATCGCTGGGTGACACGGATCACAGGGGAGCAGGCTGGGGTGTGTGCAGGTGCGTGGCTGGGGTGCCTCTCAGGGCTAAATCGTCTGTGAGATAAATACATCTTTTATTTATTTTTAGGGACAAACTGAAAATTAGCGTTTTTAAAACGCTAACCTTAAGGCGCCCTTCTGTTGGCACTCTTAACCAGAAGAAGGACAACGTAACATCAATGTGTACATTCAGCACCCTTCTTTCCCTAAAAACGTGATTTCCTTTAAAAGGAAAGGCAGGAAGACAGAGAAAGGAGAACTACAGCGCCTCCTGATGGCCACACTAGGCCGGTTACAGAGAAGGTGGGGTCTGCTGCACCAGCTCCCTAGGGACAGCCCCCCTCCTGCCTTACAAAGACATTTACTATCGGGCGGGCCTTTGTCATCTGCCTTCATAGGAGTTCTGACTCATCCTCACCCACACAAATCCTCCAAACAGCTTGGGTTGGCTTCTGCGTCAGTGGCATCTCAGTCCCCAGCACTGCAGACTGGCTCTGTAGACCACACACAGCCTCAAGATGCTCTTAAGCCCAGAGCCAGGTGGAGCTTGAGGTGTTTGTCAGAAAGATCCACCAAGTCCATGGGACTCTGCAGCTCTATCAATGTGACAAAGTCCCAGCTCAGCTTGACCGTCTCTATGGGAGGCAGAATGAGGCCTGGGCAGAGCTAGATGCGGAGGAGTCTGCGTCCTCCAGCTCACAATGAGCATGTTGGCCACATGGCTCCAGAGCAGGGTATAGGGGAGTGAGGGACGTCCAGGCATTTCCCACTGCCTGTGGATGGAGGTGTGCATGGGTGTTCACAGGTGGGTCAAAAACCTCACATCAGCAGACCATTGGCTTGTCCCCAGCTCACCCTCAGGCCTGATAACCCAAGAGACACACATTTAGTAATGGGGGAAAGAAAAGTTCTAGAAGAGGAAGCATTGCCAAGCTGCTGTGTCCCCTTGGTGTAGAGGGCAGTGCAGCCCACGGCCAGGCACGGCATGGGGCTGACTCTGGGGTAATTTCTACCACCTTGCTGGAAAGCAAGAATCACTCTCCTTAAGGAAAACTTAAACACCCATTTCCTTTTGAAGCCTATCAACATGTCAAGTGGCCGGTTTCCATCACGAGTCCTGGGCCATCTCCCCGGCCAGCAGAAAGCAAAGGCAGAAGCCCACTCCACACCCCTCCTGTGCTGTGGGGGCTCTGGTGGTTCCAGGGAGCTCCAGGCCCCTGCTTGGGTGCCCCAGGGCAGCACTAGGAAAAGCAGTGGTCGGAGGAATAGCAGGGCCCCGTGCAGTGGAGAGGGCACTGGGTAGCGGGTCCCTGCCCCTCCTCAGGGTCCTTGCCTGGTCCTCCCCTCTGGCTTTGCTTACTTCTCCCTCCTCTTGAACTTGACCTGTGACAGGAGGACTAGAAGGGACCTTGAAGACAGAGAAGGCAGAATGGACACAGAGACGGTCCCTGGTGAGACTCATTTCGGAGGCAGTATATTTGGTGGGATCCACAGCACTTTATTTTTGAGACAGGGTCTCCTTGTGTGGCCTTCACTGGCCCCAAACTCAGGGCTTTCTGTCTCCACCTCCTCAGCAGCTGGGATGATTGAAACATGTCACCCACCAGCTTCCAATGCAGGATAATGTGAGTGGCCCAGTGCCGATGGCCCTCCGTGCACCCTGCAGTGACAATCTCTTCCTGCCTCGCAGCCCCAAACTCTGTGACTTCCTACAGATGGTGGACATCGGAGCACTGGAGACACTGACCTCAGAGTGGGGACCAGGAAGAGGTCAGGTGGGGCTTTCTCCTCTCCCTCACTCACTGCCTCGGAGCCAAGTTAGGGACTCCCCTGGATGTCCCCTCCTCCGTGGCCCCCATCCTCTCACCTGTCTGTGGTGACATGGCCTCCTCAGGGCTGAGGCAGGGCAGGCCTCCTCTGTGCCGTTGCTGGGAGCCTCCAGATC